ATTATTTACTATGGTGGCATGACATCACTAATCCTGATTGTTTCATCCTGCCAACCAAAGTTTAGGGACACTCAGGTCTTTATCCCTGTTGGGCATTCAGCAATTTGGGTCTCTGAGTCAAGCAAATCTTCTAAGTTCCTGCCCAGTCTCACTAGATTGGAAGATTTCTAATATTTTACCTCTTTGCTATTATGATGGGTTCCCTTGCATATCCTTTGCTAGTAATAGAGACTATTTGGTTCAATCTAAATCCAAAATGCATTTTTTCATAAAAATAGTTATAAAACACAAAGGCATTTGGGCTAGGGTTGTGGCTTAGYGGTAGAGCGCTTGTCTAGCATGTGTGAGGCCCTGGGTTTGATCCTCAGCACCATATAAAAATAAATAAATAAAATAAAGGTATATATTTTAAAAAACTGTTAAAAAAAACCCCACAAAGGCATTTGCTGAGCTACTCAGAAACATACACATACCCTACACACTCATGCATTGTCCAAAAGCAAGTCACTAATGAATCTCCTTGTCCCCAAGAGCAAAATGCCAGTGTGTGCTCTGTATCAGCCCTAGCAAAATTAGTAGGCCAATTTCAGGGTCTTAGATTGTAGGCCTCATTCTGCCACTCAGTAGTGAGTGACTTGGGCAAATTACCTCTCTGAGCCCCAATTCCTTTCTCTGCAAAATGGTGATGATGATAATAAGAACTATGTCACAGAAAAGGAAAGTAACATTTGCACAATTGCCATCTCTGTGCAGATAGAACGATGTGTATGGAAGTGCTTTGAAATGGGAAAGCTCCATGCAAATGTCTACTGAGTGTATTTTTAATATATATGTGACGAAAGAAATAACATATCCAAAAAAATCAAATAAATCTCCCAATGTCTTCAGTCTTTAAAATCAAACCCAGGTGCATAGTTTACATTTCTGCAAAAAGACACTACAAATCTCATTCTTCACACAGGGACACAGTGCTTATTAGCTGAAGTCAAGGAGTGGGGTCAAGTACCTCAGAGGAGGTTAGTCACATTCAATCATTTGCAGGTTCAGCAAACACCCATCAGTGTTGGTTCCAGGCATCAATTCCCCAAGAAGAACATGTGACACACATCCAATAATGCTGCTTGTCCTTTTCCTTTGCCCACTGCTGAATCAACTTTAGTTCATCAACGGAGTTGTAAAACCTCCTTGTTGCTCAGCCCCATTTCTATCCTTAACCCTATCCAGAGAAATGCCCCCTCTCTCACCCCTGTCATTGGCGTAGTGCTTCGTCCTTCCTTCCCTCAAGAGGGCRGTTTCTTTTCTAATGTCCTTGGGGTAGCAGCGCAGCCAGGTTTGACCTCCCTGATGCGCAGTTGCCTGCACGAGGCTCAGCCCCCAGCCGCTGGGGGTAGGCCCGCCAAGCCCGCTTACAAAAGGCACAGACATAGCTGTCTGCACTAAGCGCCTCGGGGCCTGACCCTGGCCTCAGCTGAGGCGCTGAACTTGCTTCCCGCCGCTTCCTCTAGTTCAGTGCTTCTCAAAGTTGATTTCGGCTAAAGGGCTTGTTAAAACAGACTGCTGGGCCCCACCCCCTAAGTTTCTGATTYAATAGGTTTAGAATGGACCGGGAGCGTGACATCTCACTAGTTCCCAGGTGACAGTGATGCTGTTGATCCGGGGACGCACTTAACGGGAACCGCTGCGGCTTTCTTCTAAAGCTGCTCGGAGATAAAGGATCTTTCTCCTGCTGCACGTCCTTCCCAGCCGCTCTCCTGTCCTGAACACCGTGTGACTATGGAATAACCCCTCAGCACTGGAAGCCGGAGACTAGAAGGCAGGAGGGTTTGTGCTGGTCGGACAGTCCGCAGAAAGAAACTTGGAAGCCTATGGGTCTTGAGTGTTACTGGGGTATTTAACTGATCAGGCTCTGATGACCTGTTTTTTTTTTTTTTTTTTTTTTTTTTCATTCAACAACACACCCTGGTGATCGGGTGTTAGGTCTAGGGTTTCAATGGTAAAAAGACCAAAACGTCCTAGCTGCCCAGGAATTCCATACTGGGAGGGAACTATGCAAACGATTTCAAGGCCCTTAACTGTTCTCCGGAGGGAGCATCTAACTTTGGTGCAGGGTGGGTGGGGCTCTGGAATTTGTGAGAGAAGCTGGAGGTTTCAYGAAAGAATTGGCATTTATGCACAGACCTGCAGTACTTGTGGGAATTTGGCAGGTGAATGTAGGAAGGATTTTCCCCAAACAGAAAGAATAAGCAATAGGACTGCCCAAGGGTGAGGTTCCGGAGGCAGTGACYAGGAAGCTTGCATAATCAAGCTCTCCAGGGCAGCCTGGTTTCTCCTACCTCTACAGTGGCTAGTCTGTGTCTCCTCTGCTGTTCCTTGTGAGCTGATGTTCCCCAGGCCTGGTCCTGGTGACCTTTCCTTCTGCTCTCCATGTTCACTTCCCTGGAAGCTCCTTCATACCTGAGGCCTCGCTTACTCCTTGCTCATGAATAGAGTCCATGTCTGTCTCCAGTCAAGGGCCTCATCTCACATAGATGTCCCCAGGCATATTTCCTCCTGTACTGTCCCAGTGAATGGAACCAGCATCCACTTACCTAACTTATTCTGAGGGCTTTATGAAATGACCTTCTCATAAGTTACTGGTGGAGAGTAAACTGGTCCAATATTTTGCWGGTGCTATTTATAAGGCAGAAAATAGGAGGAAAGATGCTTGGCTCACATTTTTGAGTCCACAAAATCCTGGCTGAGTGAGCTTGGACAAGTTACTTCTATTTTTAATCTGTAAAATGGGTCTGAGAATACCTACCTCACATGGTTGTTCTATGAATTAAACAACAATAATTGTCATTTATTTGGCCCTATGTTAAGTACTTCTCTCAGGTTGTGAGTACCTAAGTCAAGGAAACACTGTTAAAAAGTACTGAGCCCAGTCTAGAACCCAGAGTTCTCTGGTTCTTAAACCATCTTCACCTCATTGTCACACTATCTTTCCAGAGATTTTATACCAAGTAGGAAAATATATATGATATAATGTTAAGTGAAAGAGGGACCATAAATTGCATAATCAGTATGAGTACAACTATGTTAGAGGAAAAAAGAGAAACTAAGCTACAATTAGAAAAGGCTAGTAGGAAATATAGCAGATCATTAAATATAGTTGTACTGGGGTGATTAAAAAAAACTTGTAATTTCCCATACTTTCCACATTTTCTTTAATATTTAAAACACTAACAATTTATTACATTGAAAGCTACAAGCCCACAACTTTCCATGTTTGAAAATAACACTCTAGTGGCATTTCCTCTCAATTCTATTCTTACTTCCCTGAACAGAAACTCTTTGGTCTTTCCAAAGGCCATGCATGGTAGGAAATAGGTATTTCAACCATGTTCACAACCCACCTGACAGCTGACAACCTAGCCACTGGAGCCAGCTGTCAAAATCAGGCCTGTGAGAGGGAAGTTCCAGACAGAATGGGGGCCGCTTCTACCGCCTAGGGCTTTCTGGATAGCGCTACTTAAGATCTATTACTTTTTTTTCCTTCTAAATAGCCAGCCGAATGCTCTTTTTCCAGTTCTGACTGAGTAGTTCGCTTCAGCGGGCGGGGACCGCTGCAAGGTACCTGGCTTGGTGAGCACCGCCCAAACTGGTCAGGCTAGTCGGCTCCGTGGCTGTTTCTGCCAGGACTTGCCTGTGTGTGTGTGTGTGTGTGTGTGTGTGTGTGTGTGTGTGTGTGTTAGAGACCCACCCTTCTCCACAGCAACCCAGGTAGGTGGAAGGCATCTGCGGGCACCAGTCTGGCAGTCAGGCCAGATGGGTGGAGCTGAATTAATCTAACCTGGAATTTCAACTTGGCCTGCACAACAGGTGAGGGGAAGAAAGCAGCAGAGAGAATGGTTAGTTCGGCAACTTGGAAGTATTCTCGCGGCTTTGCCCCTTACCCCCTATGTGGAACATAGCTCAGGGTGACTTTTTAAAGTGTTTGCTCCAGGTTTTAGGGCTTGGTCGCTCCAAGGTCTCCCGGAGGCTAACCAAGCCCCTCCTGAACCCTGTCCTCCTCTGTTACCCTCCACGACGACGTGCCCGTGCCCGTTCCCCCTCCTCTGGGAGGCAGGGCGGGGGTATCGGATTAGTCTTTGTTTTCGACGCGAAAGAGCCGAGCGCCGCTTGGGGGAGGCTTGCGATGGCAGGGCCCTGGGTCCGCCTGGGCAGGGCGCTCGGTTGTGACCCCCGCGAGGGTGCTCCGCAGCCGGTCCACGGCCTCTGCCTTCGGGCACCCTCTTCTTGCCGCCCGGGCTGACTCGGTACGCAAACGCGCGATGTCCCCTATTGTCCTGCCTTGGAATGAGAGAGGCAGCCGGGGAAAAGGGGGTCAGTCTGGTCCACAGCTCAGGGTTCATAGGGGCGCTGAGGCTGTCCCGGACCGCTCGAGCCAATAGGGAGTGGCAGGAAGTGGGGACACCAAGGCCCGTTCGGCCGAGGGCCTAGGTTGGGAGGTCCGCGTGCCCCACCCCGCCTCGCSAGCCTCGGCAGTAGTACCGCCGGAGGGCAAGAGCGGTCAGTCCGAGGGGGACGGCCGAGTACCGGGAGGGCCGGCCAAGGCGCTGGGGAGGTACTGCAGGTGCAAAGAAGCGGCGGCCGGGCCCTGCCCTGCCCCCACCCGCCTGCCGCCTGTCCTCTCCCATTCCTCTTCTCCGCGGGAACTCCCCTCTCGCGCGGCCCCGGGCCCGGCGGCGGGGGCGGCGGCGGGCCCGGCGGGGCTCGGCGGGGCCGCACGTGCGCGCCCTCCCGGGCGGGGGAGTCCCCGGGCGAGCACGTGCCGCGGCGCGCGGGGGGCGGGGAGTCCCGCGGACGCCTTCATTGCTGCKGCTGCTGCCGCCGCGGCCGCCGCTGCCTCTTCCTTCCTCCTGCGCCGTCTCCTCCTCGGCCCGGGCGGGGGGCTCCGCGCGTCGAGCGCTGCCGGGCCGGGCGCTTCGGGAGGCGGACGCCCCAGGCGGCGGCGGCGGCCGCGACGGTGGTGGCGGTGGCGCGGGCCGAGAAACTTTGCCCCTTTGTGCGCTCCGCCCCGGAGGCGGCGGGCAGGTCGGTGCAGTCGGTGCCTTTCCGGCTCCGGGGTGGGGGAGGGGAGGCGTGGGGGACCGACCCGGGGGGAGGGGACGGCCCGGGACCAGCGGGAGGGCCGCTACTTTGTTGCGGGGGTGCTGCGGGTCACAGTGTAGCTGAGCCGGGTGGGGGCGGCGGGGCGGGGGCTGCGGAGCAGCCGGAGCCCAGCGGCCGAGGCCCCAGAACAAAGGAGCCCGAGCGGCGGCGCGCGCGCAGCCCGGCCCGCGCCCCTAGCGCGCCCCCCTCCCCGCGCCCCCTCGGCTGCGCGGGCCACCCTCCCCCTTGGGGAGAGGCTTTGGCCGCAGGCGCGGCGGCCGGCGCGGGCTACCCGCGGGCGCGCCCCCACCTCCAGGCCGCTTCCGTGCAGGGGGCGCTGGGCAGCTTGGAGGAGCGAGGCTCTCAGCAAACTTTATTTTGAAAGCTTTGCTCCCTTGGGGAGGGCCCTGCGGCCTCCGGTGAGGGGGTGTGGGGGAATTTTGGTGAAACTCTCACAAGCCCGCGGGGGCAGGGGCTCAAAGGACAACTTTCTCAGAAATCCCACCTTGACCACCCCCTTTAAATTCGTCGTCCAGGCACCCCCAGTCCCCGGTCTGGCCATAGGCCACCTCCCTTGTGCGTCCTGCCTAAGGTTCTGGGCAGGACTTCATTTGAGCTAGCCCCTCTCTTCCCCCATTTTCTCTCTTCCCAGAAGCAGGAAGAGGTAACACGTGAAAGTTGTCCATGAGCCCTGAGTGATGCGCTTCCCCTTTCTGTCTCTTTCAGGCAGCGCAGCAATCTCCATCACCCTGATCCCGGAGGAGAAATACCCGAAGGAGACACCTCACACTGCTGTCCCACCACACACCCATCTGCTCACCTCATGCCCGGGTCCTGGGTGGGTGAGGGTGAAGGACCCACCCAGCCAAGATGATCCCTTCCCTGGGGGCTGCTGCTGCTGTCCTCCCCCAGATCCTGGGCCCCAGCAGGTGGGAGAGTGGCCCCAGAAGGAACCCTGTCAGACTGCTGCAGAGGAGGTGAAGAGGGCTTGAGAAGAGGCACCCATCCCAGAGACGGAAGCGCCTTGTCTTCACCCTTGTAGACTTCTTCACTGTTTTAGGAGAGAGGAACCAGTTGGTGGCCTTTGCAGGAAGCAGGAAACTGGACTGTGGTTCTGCTCCGCACCTATGCCCCCACCTCTGGCAGCATCAGCATCAGCATCAGCGTCATGAGCCAATTTCAGGTGCCCCTGGCGGTTCAGCCGGACCTGCCAGGCCTTTATGACTTTCCTCAGGGCCAGGTGATGGTAGGGGGTTTCCAGGGGCCTGGGCTGCCCTTGGCCGGGAGTGAGGCCCAGCTGCGATCTGGTGGAGATGGGCGAAAGAAAAGGAAACGGTGTGGTACTTGCGAGCCCTGCCGGAGACTGGAAAATTGTGGGGCTTGCACCAGCTGCACCAACCGCCGCACCCACCAGATCTGCAAACTCCGCAAGTGTGAGGTGCTAAAGAAAAAAGTGGGGCTTCTCAAGGAGGTAAGGTGGACCTTGCTAGGCTCCTCATCCCTTCTTTGAGAGTGTTATAATCATGAGGATCTTGTTAATGATTTGCCCAGTTAAGCCCATTCTCCCAGTTCCTGTCTCTTGGTCCAATTTTGAGTGGGGCCATGAATGGGAGCTTAACTGAGGTTGGAACCCAGAGTGGCCTCCTTTGCAGGGCTGGGAGTTTGATATGGGAGTAACTGAATCGCAGAGGGTGCATTGGCACCCTCATCTATGTTTGCATTTAATGCAGGTCGGTGATGTCTAGCTTTATCTCCAGAAGTTTCTTGTCCTGCTTGAAGCTTCATGTGTTGTATTTCTAGGTCCCATTAAGTTCTGGGTGATGTTGGCAGTGATGGGTGCCAAGTGAGGGATAAAGACTTATGGATTTGGAAAGAAAGCTGTAGAGTGACAGAGTGGTTTTATGCTACCCTGATGGAGTGGAATGTTTCTTTCCCTAAGTCTTTTCTTGGGTGCCATCATTTTTCTCAGGCAGCAAGAGAGCCATTTGAAACTGTTTGGGAATTTAATGGAAAGCACATGATTTGGGTTCCCCTGTGGAACTGAGTACTTCTTGAGACCAAAGACAATTTTTTAATCTGTGTTTTCAGGACCTGCCACAGTAGTACCTTGACAGGTAGTAAGCACCCAGACACTAATTCATGAATGAATGATGTACTTTTGAACCACTCTCAACCCCAAGGAGTAGTACTCCCTTTTTGGGGGGTAGGGGGATAGAGGAGTGAGGTTGATATTGGGATGAGAGCAACCAGGGTGAGGGTTGGGGGAGAAATGGAGGGGCAGTGACCCTGCATTGCTGTCTTTCCCCTCCATTCTGGCAGTGGCCTGCCGGTTCAAGGTTGGTGGCAGCCTCAACAGCAGAGAGTTGGCAGAAGTAGTGACTAGCGAAGTTGAGCAGCTTAGGCAGAGCGATGTAGCGGCTGAGGTCGCTCCAGGCAGCGGAACTGGCGCTGGACAGAGACACAGGCCTGCGCTGTCTGTGGGGCTCCCCCAGCTCTGCCACTGATCTGTCCAAGGGCCCAGACAACTTAGGTCTCTCTGGACATGTCTTCTCCTTGTGCAGGAGTTGTACCTCATGGCCTTTGAAGCTCCCCAGCTGTGTGCTCCTGAGGGTTGGGCACCTGTGGCTGTGATGGGCTGGCAGTTCACACAGGGATTTCCCTGACCGCTGAGAGCAGAGCTGAACTGCAAGCTGGTAGGGCTGTGGTCCCGTGGATAGGAAGAAGGATGCAAGTGTTGGGGGCAGAAAAGTGGGTGTTGCTGGGATGTTTCTATCACTTCTTACCTTCCCTTGTCCGTTCGCTGTGGATCCTGTATGTCAAGACCAGGGACCACAGACTTGGTGCCCTGTTTACTCTGTTTCTGGTTAAAACAGACATCTGGATCACATCTGCAGTTCCCCCACCCCAGCCTGGGAGCCAGTGTCCAGCCCCTTTATATTGCTGGGTTTTTGGGGATTAACATCCTGCTTGTCTGTTTCCTTGCAGGTAATTTTTGAAAGTGGGCAGGATCAGGTATAGGCTTCATTTCTGGGAATGAGATTTGGTGTTTTGGTGTGAGGAGAACTTGCCCACTGTACTTTGTAAAACTTGATTCCTTCACTTCCTTCTGATGTTCATTTCCTTCTCCACACCCCTGTATCTCATTCTATTCCTCCTAGTAGCAAACCCAATGGGTGAGGAGGCTTAGCTTTGTGGGCTTGATGTTCTTGGAACCAGTGGCCCTTGTGAATGATGTTAAGTGCTGCTTTTGGCAATATGCGGGCATACCTGAGTGAAAGGGTCTGGGAATGAGGCCAGGGCCGTGTCTTCCTTGTGTGTAAGCTGCTGGCCGAGGCTGCCGGGTGGTCATGGTAAAGATACTGTGACTCTGGGTCAGCTGAGGCTCAGAGACCCCCGTGCTGAGAGACATCTAGGCCCTGTGGACATTGCTGGCTGAGCCCCCAGGGTCTGGTAAACCGTGGCTTGATGGCCTGTGGCATTCCAGAACAGAGGGTCCACATGCTTGTTTGTGGATCAGTGCTGTCCCACAATGGTGTTCTCCTAGGTTCTGGAGAAACAGTGGGCACAATGGAGTGAGTTTTTTTTGTTAAAGCTAACTTTCTTTGACTTAAAGAGCAGTACTTTGTTCCAAGGATAGGTCCTTTCTGCCTTTGATATTCAAAAACATGCTTGCTTTTATGGAGGTTTAGATTTTTTTTTTTAGGCTGTCTTTGCTTAGTAAAGCAAAGTGGTGTAACCAGGGTCTTTTTTTTTTTTAATATTTATATAGTTTTTATTGGTCTGTGAAGGCTGAAGGCCTGARAACTACCATCCAGGCAACACTGTATTTAATGGGCATATCTCTGGCACAGACACAGAGCTGAGATGTGCCAGAGAGACTCTGCCTGAGCAAAGTGTTTAGCAGCCCCAAGGGACTGCTGGGATGTTAACCATTAGATTTTAGCAGGACAAAGCTGAAGGAACATGTTCCAGGACTGGGGTGGTGTTTTTGCCCCTGACTCTTCAGATGGGGCAGGACCCAGGAACCTCAGAAATTAGACCATCTACTTGTATCTCTGCTTGCTGGTATTTCCTCCTGTTAGAGTTGTGTCACTCCCTTGGGCACCCTTTCCTTACTTCATCCTGATTCCATTTCTCCCAGCTGCCTTTTGGGCTTCCTTTGAGCTGTCTGCTGACAGCTGCTTTGTATCATCCTGTAAGGGAAGAAGATTATCTTGGGTTTTCTGTCTGCTTGCCCTACTCCTCATCCTTTGTCCTAGTTGGATTTGAGGAGGAAGCTAGGAATCCCTCAACTCAGAAAAGTAGTTCCTCATTTAAGACTAGAGGATGCAGGGCTGGGATTGTAGCTCAGTTGTAGAGCTCTTGCCTAGCATGTATGAGGCACTGGGTTTGATTCTCAGCACTGCATATAAATAAACAAATTAAATAAAGGTCCATCAAGACTACAGGATACTTCCCAGGGGAGATGGTTACTTCTCTGGGTCCTAACATGAGGTTGTGGCAGGTTGGCAGCAGCTGTAGGATATCGTACCTGAAAGGGTTCATTCTTGTACCTCTTGTTGCCTGGAGGTTGACCCAACACATTTCTTCACTTTGTAGGCCAAAATCCTTCCTAGTTCCGGGAAGGATTAAAATCCTTGGCTAATGACAGAAGCTGTTTGACTCACGTTCTTCTTGACTGAGAGGTGACTTGGCACAACAAAAATGGCTGATTAAAAAAGTAGGATTTGGTGGGAGTAGAGGCACAGTAGGGCTCATAGTAGGGCAATAGGGTTAATCTCTTGAGCATCAGTTTTCTCAACTGTAAAATTGGGTTAACCCATCTTTGCAGGGTTGTTGTGAGAATTAAATGAGATGCATAAACATGCATAGTGTCTGGCACATAGTAGGTAATCAGTGCCCCATGACAAAACATTCCTAGAATGTGTAGAAAAGAATCTTTTTGCGTAAACAACTGTGCATTAGTCTGACTTGTAAACATGCAATACAAATTAAATGTTTATTTCAAGACATTCTCTAGCTTGCCCAAAGAACTATGATGCAGAACCTTGGGGACAGGCATCAGGGTGGGAGGCAGCATACCAGGAGCAAGAAGCCACCATGGTCCTGGGCCTGACTGAAAAATTGCCCATGGGTGAGGAAAGTAAAGACCTGATTGTGTAGGAGAATGACCCTTTATGGAGGAAAAAATCGGCATAGAATATATGCATCAGGTTGGAGACATGACTGAGTATTATGGTTGAAAATTAGATAAATGAAAAGGTGGATGGTTTGAAAACCCTTTCTAGCCCTCTGCCAAGTGGATTTCATGGCTGAAACACATCTTTCTGCTAGGGTCTTTCAACATCAGAACACCTGATGAATTCTTGCCCAGGTAACTCTTTCTTCCTGAAGATAGAGGATGTGAGGAAGGGGGCTCTCAGCAGTAAAGAGGGAATTGATCTATAAAGAGGAAGTGATGAGACCCTTTAGAAAAAGGGACCACATCTTGGCATTTGTGAGGCCTGAGAAAAGTTGACCTAAGACTTTGTCTTTCAACTGCAAGCAGAATTATGGTGAGTGAAAGAAGACCAAAAGACTGGTGAAAAGCCCAGTTTTTCAGAGATTTTGGAAATTAAATGTGTTTAATGTTAATTTTTTATAGTTCTAGAACAGACTATTTGAAAGGTGGTTTGTGAGACTTTAGAAAATGAAGTAGTGAACTATGGGAGTCCCCATGGTTCTTTAGGAAGCAGCCCAGACAAGCTAAGTTCTGGATTTTGACAAAGAAGTCATGGTGTCTCTGGCCAGCTTTTTGACAAATCAAAGGTTCATTGTTTGACATGTCATGCTGAAGGGAGGTCACTGATATAATTGCCCTGCTCCACTATGTGTATCAGGGTTTCCACACTGGGATCATGGGGAGGACAAAACAGTGCCTGGGACCCACCCCACAGGGATTCTGACTTAACTAGTCTGAGGTGGACTGATCCGTCTGGGGCTCTTTGGGTGTATCTGATGTGTGGTTAGCATGTAGACTCTGATGCAGATGAAAGACTGAGGTGATGGGCTGCTGCCTGGACTCTGCTACTGCAGATTGAGTTCTAGGCCCTCCTGAGTGGTTGACACCTTCACTCTCATCTCGCTGCTCAATAAACCCATTAGCATTACCTGGGAGTTTGTTAGAAATGCAAAATCTCTGGCCCTGTCCCAGACTTTCTGAATCAGAATATGTACTTCAACCAGATTCCCAGGTAAGAATTTGAGGGGCTAGTCTGCAGCACTTCTGTGATTAGAAGGAATGGGACATAGAAAAGGGGGCACAAATAAGTCATGAACAGGCAAAGAATTCCAGTGGCTAACCAGGATACGGAGGATGACCCAACACATTTCTTCACTCTGTAAGCCAAAAAAATGCAAGAAGTCATGAGATTTACTCCTTGTTTATTCATGTTCTTTTGGAGTTCTAGTCTTTCTGGTCTAGTAGATTAT